ACCTGGGTTTTTGAATCTGGGCGTAACCAAGGCAGAGTACCACTGCGACGTAATTCAGCCAGTTTGGCATTTAACTTGTGGGCTAACACAATGGTTAAGGGCATACACTCCTCAGTTTCATCAGTGGCATAACCAAACATTAAGCCCTGAAAAAAGATAAGTCAACAATGTAATCATTTCAAGTTTCACAATTTATTTTAAGAGATGCAAACACTTTCTTAACACAGTACCTGGTCTCCAGCACCAATGTCTTCTTCATTCCGGTCAAGATGAACACCTTGAGCAATATCTGGTGATTGTTGCTCTAAGGCCACCAGCACATTGCAAGTCTTGTAGTCAAACCCTATAAACAAAAATGCTTTTCTAGGAAAAGAAAATCACAATACCATCTCCACTTACAACACAATTCACAATTCTAACTGTTACAAAGAAATCAGATATAGTTGTCCCCTTCCATGACTTTGCTTTGTGCTTTTAGTTTTGTCTCTCCCAGAAAAGGAATCACTCTTCTGTCCAATAGGTCTAAGCTGTCTATGCCACCTACTCCTTAAAGTCACTTTGCAGCTGTCCACCGGCTGTGCCATAGCATGCACTATGTTCAAATAACCCTTGCTTCAGTTGTTGCAAAGCACACACTATTGGTGCCAGCAACATGGATGTGGCAAAGACAGTAACTCAAAGTGCTTCTTTTAAATGAGAAGTACTTGAAAAATACAGGAAAAAAGTAGAGCCTGGTGATAGCTAATACATAAGAGTAATGGGATACCTACCCTACCACACAATGTCACTTTTAAAGAGGCTAGAATAAGGCTGCAACAAAGAACAAAGTAAAAACTACACAGCTGGAATTCAGGAGTACTAGGAACATTATAAAAGTTTCAATTATGGGTTGTGCTGTAAGTGAAAAAGAAACAGTAAAATGAATTACAACACACCTTTGGAAGAATCATCATATCCAATGTGCTTAATGGCTTCACGAACAACTTTCTGGTAATCAACAGCAGCCCTGGATGTGATTTCCCCAGCAAGAAGGATCATTCCAGTTTTAGCAACAGTTTCTAATAGAAAAGAGGTTCACAGCAAATGCCATTTTTATAAACGTCTTCCAGTATTACTTTTTTTCAAGCAGTTGATAAGCAAGGATACTCATTCTGCACCTACCACAAGCCACTTTGGCATCTGGGTCCTGCAGAAGGTGGGCATCTAGGACAGCATCACTGATCTGGTCACAGATCTTATCTGGAAGAGAAAATCCTGGACTTTGAAGTTTTTAAATTTACTACCAGCTCCTCTCTTCCCATCAACTAGAAAAACTAGTCTCACTTTTTTTTTTTGGTAACATTGCTGGTAAAACATAAAAATGTACAATGTCAGTGGCATGAAGCTTGCAGATAAGAACTTAACTAGTGTTTTAAAGCACTGCCTTACCACAGGGTATTTGAATAATATTAAAAGCTAAAGACAGTGCATGTTACAAGCTCATCAACTCAGGCCAACACACTGCACATATTCAGTGCATCTTAATGTATGATAAATGTCTATACCTTCTAAGAACTTCAGTCCTTCCTTGAAATATTTTGATTTTGTAAGTCACTTAAACTGACATTAAATAGGTGAAAGAAATGACATTTTAAAATTAAAAAGCTTAAGCAAAGAAGCATAGTATTAATTTAAAAGACAATTCTTACATTTAACCAAAACTAAACTTTTGTCTTAGCAATTTCTTCAACAGTTGAAGCCCACTGTGTAGCACATCCCTATAAATCTCAGTACCATAGGAAGCTGCCTAAGGCAAAATGATCGCAAGAATTTACACCCAGCCTGAGCAATACAGACACTCTTCTCAATGTCACTCGGCTGGAGATGTAGCTCAATACAGACACTGGGTTTAATTTCCAGTGGAGTTGGCTTGCAATGGCATGCTTGGGCACATGGAAAGCCACACAGTCCAGTCTACTTTCCCTACAAATACTCAATTCTACAGGTGTTACCAACTAAATCCCCTGTCTACCTGAAAGAACTGAGATACAGATCAGCATCTCAAATCTTTTAACACCAATCAGGGCAAAGATAAAGACTTCAACAAAAGCTTAGCAGATTAAAAGAATGCTCAAATGCATTCTAAAATCTCAGAATCTTCCCCACCATACAATATATTGGGGGAATGGCAACACGCCCTCTCCTTAATTACCATTTAAAATAGCACTATACATTCCAGACTTAAGACTCAAAATTTTAAGTATCATATAACCGCACAACAGAACACCTGACCTTCAGCATTCATCAAGGCTGCTGGTGGGATTTCACCACAGGCATAGCTGATGCTTAGGTCATCAAACCAGAGTCACGTTATTGCGGCCACCCTACAAGTCTAGGTCTAAAGAGCACAATAATGGCATTCACTTGGTCCTGTGCTGAAGTACAGGTTAAAATGTGCTGGAAACAGCTCTACTCATTCCCGTGTAAATTCCCATAATGGCGCTTCAGCGGACAAAGCCCGAAGAAGGAAATGTAAGCCAAACCTCGACAGAGGTTAGGACTTTAAAAGGAAACCCAAGCCAAGCGGAGCCAACACTTAATTCATACTTCCTATCCTTTGCACCTGTGGTCCAAATAAGGATGGCCTCGACTTGCACTATATTTAGCTCGAGGCTGTCACCTTGAAGCCGAGGCTACATTCACCTAAGGGCATGTCTGTATCCCTCTTGGTAGCCGAAGCTGCGCTGGCAATTAAGACAGGAGTCCTGCTTCACCTGCTCCCACCCCGCTAGCCGAGGGCTAGGGCGCCCCTCGCCCGGAAGCCACATGCGGCAGGCACGTGGCTGCCGCTGCAATGCGGGGCGCGCGCCCGAAGGCCGGACGCGAGCACGCGGGGCGGGTCACCCACTTGAGGCTTTGCAGATGCGAGGACCAGGGCGGAACAGTGCCCTCCACGGGCAGAACACAAACTGTCGCGGCCCCCGCCCTTCTAGCTTTCTGGAATCTTCCGCCTGCCTGGGCGCGCGGCCGGATGGGAGGGGAATACCGGGAGGGGGAGGGGAACGGCGGCAACGCGCGCGGCGCCGACGCCACGAGGAAGGCGCGCGGCCGTCCTTCCCACTGTCCCTGGGGCAAGGACGGAGCCCACGAATCCCTCACTTGGCGATCGTGGCCGGCACTTTCATCTTGCCCCTCGCACTGTCCCGAGCCACGCCATCTCACCTGGGTGGCCTTCCCCCACAGACTCCGAGGTGAAGAGGAACGTGCCTTCCTCGATGAAAGCGTCGTGGAAACCGTTGAGCTGTCCGTTCATGGTGGCAACGATGGATTGAGAAAGTGTCGTTAAGCAGACAAGCGGGCAGCAGCGATGACGCGACCGGGAAACGCACACACTGTGTGGAGAGCAAACTCCAAATCGCAGGCGGCGCGGAGAAAACGGGGCGACAGGCAGCGAGGCCCACTATTTATAGAGCAGCGCCCGCGCGCGCGCCCGGTTTGGCCCCGCCCCTTGGCCCCGCTCACCAATGCACCACTGGCGCGGAGGTGGCGGGGGAAAGAGGGCGGTGCCTAGGCCACTCGGACTAAACCATTCTGCAAGGTAGGGGTGGCAAGGAAAGCAACCGCTCCTCCTGAGAGTATCCATCTTAAACAGTTATAAACACGATCTCAGTAGAAATAAGAGTCTGAATAGCCTTTGCATCCTTGTATATTCCGTGTGGGAGGAAAGGCGCCGAGGGCTTTAAAGACCCGCTCCCCTGTGCTGTGGTGTGGCACCTTCCCCCCGACCGTTGGCCGGGAGAGCAGTCCGCTAGGTAGCGCCCCCCAGCGGTGACGAGGGGAATCGCGGCGTTCGAGCTCTGACGCTGCCTTGTCCAGGGTCCTTCCGGCCGCCCCGCCTTTGGACGCCTTGTGACAGGGAGCCGGTGGCTCTCGGCCATGTGGAGGTGGCCATATTGGCTGGCCCGCGGGCGCGTCATCGCACAGCCATGTTCTTCCCACCCTGCTCGCCGCCGCGCCAGCGGGTGGAACTGCTGAGGGGCGCCGGCCCAGGGGTTAGTAATGTGTTGGTTAATGGCTTCCATGAAAGCGGCTGGAAAGAGAGTTAACGAGAGTGCTGCTGTCGACTTTCGCCTCTCCGCAGCGTGTCACCCTTTCCTGACCCGGTCGTGGAGACCACACACTGACCTCTACAGAAAGGAGGTCGCTTGCGGGCCCTGTCTGGCTTTCCTGTGCCTCTGAGAAGACAAAAAGAGAATTGGGATTAAGGGATTTCAGGCTTTTGTGCAGGAGAATAGTGAACGAGCATTTTCTTCCCCGCTTGGGGGAAAACCTCCCCGCGAGCCCTCGAGTGTGCCTGGGCCGACCTCTCCGCGGGAGGAAGGTCTGTTCTGGCGGGAGGCTTTCACTTACAATGCCCACCTGCCTTCGTCCTAGTTTTAGCCATTAATGGAATTACAGAGGGACACGGAAAAGGAGCGAAACCAAATCTGAATCGAGGGGAGTCGGGAGCGATTTCGAGGCGTCCCTAAGGGAAGGGAGGCATGGCAGGGGCTGTCGCTGCGTCTCGCGCGGGGGCCGCGCCCCGCGCACCCCGACCCCGACAGGAGTGGCCAGGGCCTGGTGTCACGGTGGCCCGCACGCCGGGGGTGACAAGAGCACCGCGATTCGTGATGTTCTTGGGCCACCGGCTGCCCAGAGCAAAGTGACGCTTCACCCTGGGGAGACGACACACCCCTTGGAACAGACGCCAGCTGCCCGTCTCTGGAATTAGGTAAATTCTGAAGAAAAAGCCGCTAGGTGAAATGACATGCGCGGGGCAGAGAAGATGGGAATTTGCAGACGGAAACAAAGGGAGCGTTGGGCTGCGCTGAGGGCATCAACAAAGAGGGCAAAGACGGTCTTGTCCCCAGACTTATGGGCCACATCCATAATCGCAGCAGGCAGCCAGAGAAGGATAAATACAAAAGAGGCGATGAATAGGTTATTCTTACTGGTTGTTTTTTTACTCTTCAAAGTAACCCTTCATAGGAAAATGACTATGATACTATTCCATCTTTTTTTGTTTGTTTGTTTTAGTATTATGTCACTTTTTGAAAAGAATGTTATTTTATTAAATCATGGTAATTGAATGAAACTATGTGTAGACTTCTCAATGCATTATCTCCCAGCAGAAAAATCTATACAGGAAGCCAGAATATAATTGGAAGATTATTTTACTAATAAGGAGGCAGAAATATAATGTGAAGGTTAGTTTATGAATAGGCTGAAGGAGATCACATGATTGGCTCATTAAATCCTGATGTCTCTTTGTTGCCATGTCCACAGTGAGTGGGCTCTTCCTGCCAAGACTGAGGTAGGGAGAGGTGGTTTGCTCAACAATGTTGAATGTCAGGGACAGGACTACAAAATCCTCTTCTAAACCACTATATTTTACCCTTAACGAGAGCAAGAAAGACAGTTGGTACTGCTGATCTAGCCTTGGCAGGAAAAGCCCACTGTGGAGCTGGTAGTAAAGCAGCACCAGGCAACATTCCACAGTTTTGCATTGGCTTTCTTACAATTTTAAATTTGTATTTATTTATTGAGAGAGGGTCTCGCTTTGTAGTTCAGGCTGGCTTCGAGTGAATTATGTAGTCCGGGCTGACTTGAACGGACTATGATCCTCTTGTCCCAGTGCTGGGGTTACAGGCGGGTTCCACCACGCCCAGCAATATTGGCTTTCTTTTAGTGAGTAGCAGTTCAATCTGTTAATTTGTTGCATCAAGATAAAGCAGGAGCCTATGTCATGGCAAGCCTATCGTCCCAGGAGGATCAGAATTGGAGACAAGTCTGTACTATATGTAGTAGCAAGACCCTGTCTCAAAAAAATAAACAGCTGGATGTTGTGTAAATCTGAAATCCTAGCATCTGAGAGGCTGAGGCAGAAAGATGGTTGCAAATGCAGCCTGGGCTACAAAGTGAGCTGAAGAACAGCCTGAACTGCATAGAGAGACCCTGTGTAAAAAAGACAAAATTGGGCCTTCTACAAGACAAGGGAATCTTGGGGCTGGGGAGATGGCTCAGTAGAATAAGTGCTTCCCTGGCAAGCGCAAGGGCCTGAGTTTAATCCCCAGTTCTGCCATTTTTTTTTTTTTTTTTTTTCCAGAACGGGGGATTAAACTCAGGCCCTTGTGCTTGCCAGGGGAGCGCTTATTCCACTGAGCCATCTCCCTGGCCCCCCAAAAAATTTAAAAAATAAAAATAAGAAAGACAAAGTAAGCAAAAACCAAAACAAAATAGCTTGAACTACAATATAGGCCAGTGAGACCCTGCTTCAAAAAGCAAAAGTAAAACCCCCCATCAAAAGCAAAAAATTAAGCAGATCCTATTTATCTATTTTCATATTATTGTGTTTCCCTTCTTCCATAAATATACATCTGTGAGGCAGGCCCAGGTACTGATGCTATGATAGTCCTAGTTGCTGCCTATTTCAAACTCTAAATAAAGATGTTTGGGTAACTTCTTATTCTTTATGCCCCAGGTCAGCTGCAGCTTTTATCTATAGAGATTTCTCACAAGGTGTTTTCCTTCATGGCACTTAAGTGCAGCCTGCAATTATAGATTTAGTGATTGGGTTTGTAAACTTCACGATTAGGTGGTTTTTTGAAGTTTTACATTGAATGCCTGGCATATACAAGGTGCTTAAGTGTGTGTGTGTGAGAGAGAGAGAGAGAGAGAGAGAGAGAGAGAGAGAGAGAGATACAGACAGACAGACAGACACAGGAAAGAAGAGGGAAAGGGAAGAGAGGAGGAGAAGAGAAATGCAAACAAAAAACAAAGGAGAAATGCAAAAACAAGGAGAATGAATAGAAGGGATTGTAGGAGAAAGTCGGGAAGTACAAGACCTTCATGCCCATGTGAAATGAAGTCCTGCTTTTAGCCACAAACACAATAAAATTGAGAACTCTTTACCAACAGAGAAGCACGTAGCCATCCTGTTCCAAGAGGAATGATTTCTCATTTCATAGATTAGTGCCTTGAGGGTCAAATACCCCCGGAGAAGTATTAGTTTATGTCACACTTAGTTTTAATGAATTTTATGGAATGTGAAGTGCCGTAAAGGAAAAACTCATCACTGCCCAAAAGCTCGGGCTCTCTCAACCCCAGAAAGCATTAGTACAGCCCTAGCCCTGTGAAAGTGGGCGATTGGAATGAATGAGCCGGTAGTAACAGTTCTAGGTCTTACCAATTGATCGATCGTCCAATCTGATAGAGAAGAAGGATCCAGTAAGTCAAAGAAAAAAACAAAAAGAGCCCCAGGAAAGAAGGCCGCAGAAAAAAAGAAGGAAGAAGAACATGCCTCTGCAGCACAAAATCTGATTTGGCAGAGAAAGGGAGGGGGATAGTGTAGCAAAATGCACTAGTAAGGTGCAAAGACACCGAGGAGGAAGCTCCTACATTATGAGTCCTAATACCTTCTGTGTAAATGACAGCCCAGGAATATAGGACAGACATCTATATACTGCGCCACTTGTTTACGGCTAAAGCCTGGTCTGTCAGATGCTCACAGGTGCAAGCCAACCCAAATGGGGATCCCAGCACTCAGGACCCTGAGGCAGGAGGGTTGCCATGAACGCAAGGCAGCTGAGGCAATAGAGTAAATTCAAGACTGATCTGTAAAAAAAAAATCAGAGCAAGACCCTGCCTCAAAGCAAAAATAAGAATACTATGTGAATTCTCTCACCTGTAGGCTTTTAATATTTTGTTTTTCTTTTTTTCCTTTTGATAATCAAATCTTTTTACACCTCAATAAAGAACTACAGGGTAGAGCAATGCTTACGGTGGTGAAGTAAGATAGAAAAAATAAAAACTAGGTAGAAAAGAGAGAAATCAAGATTTTTCTTTAAACAAAACAAAACCTGAAGCTTCAAGACACACTCCACTCGAGTTCATCCTAAAAATCTCAGATAAATTCTTCTCTTGTCTTTTTTACTGATGCGTGAGGAAAATCCTTTTTCCGAGATGGGGGCCTGTGAACATGCAAACTGATTTTAAAAGGGTGGGGTGGGTTCTTTATTTCAGCCTCAGGGACAGCCTCTCAGACCTGGCCCGCTGATGTACAGTGTAGAAGACACGAAGGAGGTGATATTATGAAGGCAGAAGCTAAAAGCTAGTCTATTGTGACAGGCACTGTCATAATCCTTCTTACAGCAGCTCTGACGAGGCAGTTGCTATTTATTTCTCTTCCTGTTTTGTAGATTGCCTTAGTTACGTTTCTTGTTGCTAAGACAGAATATCCAACACCCAAAGTTAAAGGAGGAAAGGCTTATTTGTCTCATAGTTTATAGAGGTTTCAATCCATCAGCTGGTAAAAGGGCAGCCTGGCATGGCAGGCCTCACAGAGGTGAAACAACTCCTGGTGGGCAGAAGGTAGCAAAGCAACAAGG